GTGATCCGCGCCTGCGCAGAGCCTCATTGGAATATTCTAGAGCTTCTGCAGTAGCAAAAAGCACATTTGAATAGACCCCTCCCCCTTGGCATAAGTACCTTGGCAGCAGGACTCTCCCTTCAGTTGTGTGAACCTCAGCAAGGAGAAAAATATTGCATGGCGTGACAGAGGGGAGGTTGCATGGGATATGTGAATCACAGAGGTCCACTCAAAGAACTACAATTACAGGTGAGTAACTTACCATTCTTCTTTGTGGCCTCTGTGAATCACACTGTAGGTGACTAGCAAGCTATCTTACTTGGAGGCGGGGTGTCACGCCAAGGCGGAAGCCAAAACAGCACGTCCAAATGCTGCATCACACTTTTGTTGAACATCTAGTCTATAATGTCAGACAAAGGTAGATGATTGTGCCCACGTAGCTGTGGTGCAGATGCTGGGGAGAGGCATATCATATAGCAATGTGTTAGAGACCGCCAGTGCCCTGGTGGAATGAGGGCAAATAGCTTGAGGGACTGGCTGTCTAACAAGCTCGTATGCAAGCCGAATAGTAGAGGCAACCCAGCAATAGATCATCTGGGAGGTGACTTCTAGGCCTTTGTTAGGAAGTTGATGACTGACAAAGAGGCGTGGAGAACGTCGAAAGGGTTGCGTTTGTGACAAATAAAAGGAGAGAGTCCTCCTGGTGTCCAAAATATGAAGAAGTCGTTCATGGGTTGTGGATGGTGACGGGAAGAAAGATGGGAGGACTAGTGGTTGAGAGAGATGAAACTGAGACACTACTTTAGGGAGGAAGGAGACATCAAGAAACAGCTTTACTTTATCAGGATAGAATTCGATATAAGGATAATCATGGCATAGGGCCGCAAGGTCGCTTGCTCAGTGCACTGAAATAATTGCAATGAAAAAGTCTGTTTTGAAGGAATGGAGATCCGCTGAGGCTAGCGGTTTGAACAGAGATTTAGTGAGTTGTTGCAAGACCAAGGTCAAGGACCATTGTGGAGAGGGCAGGTGAACATCTGGGTAAGCATGTGACAATCCCTTAAGAAAGCACTTGAGAGTGGGATGTCTGAAAAATCAAGCTGCTGGAGAGGTCGGTGGTTGGTACGAGACAATTCACGAGAGATATACTCTAATAGACGAGAGAGAAAGACCAAAAGATTTAAGGTGGAGCAAATATCAGAAAACTGTGGAGATGGGTTGACAGCAGGAAGAGAAAGAACTGTGGTGAAAGAGTGAATTTCCTCCCCATTTATACAGGTAAGCTTTTCTAGTTGAGGGCTTCTTTGCTTGATGGCGAGCATCCATCAAGGAGGGAGAATCCTCCAGGATTCTGCCAGGTGCAGAGCAGGTAATTTGGGATGAAGGATACAGGAGTTGTTTTGCGTGAGGAGGTGTGGTAGGCATGAGAGGTGATAGATGTTGGAGGGCTGGTGGTGTAGCACTGGGAACCAGGGCTGTCTCGGCTACCAAGGAGCAATGACAATGGCATTGGGCTTGTCCTGTTGTATTCGGACAATTATTTTGTGGAGGAGTGGAAATGGTGGGAAGAGGTATATGAGGGTCTTGGGCCAGCAGCCAATGAATGCGTCTCCTCCGGAGTGTTTGCCAATCCCGGCACTGAAACAATAGCGCTTGCATTTCTGATTCTTGCAGGAGGCAAAAAGGTCTAGAATCGGTTTTCCCCATTTTTTGCACAGATAGAGGAAAATTATTTGATCTAATTCCCACTCATGGGGCTGTGAGTTTGTGTGGCTGAGAGAGTCGGCTAGATTGTTGTCCTGGCCTGCGATGTGCAGCGCTGCGAGACATATGTGGTGTGAGAGGCACCATTCCCATAGGTTGACCGCCAAATAGAGTGTGTGCCTCCTTGTTTGAGAATATAGTACATGGCTGTGGTGTTGTCGGTGGCAATCTGGACCACCTCGCCAGCTAGAACATTTCTGAATGCTTTGCATGTCTTTATTACCACTAATAGTTCTAACTCATTGATGTGGACTGAACGTTCTCTGCAGGACCAATTGACGTGTATTTTGAGAGAGCTGCAATTTGCTCCCCAGCCGGTAAGGCTGGCATCAGTTGTGACCTGTATTTGAAGACGTGGTTGCTGGAAAGGGCATCCCATAGAGAGATTTGGGACAAAGCTCCACCATTGGAGTTGTGAGGCAAGTTCGGGAGTAACTCTTAAGAGTGTTGGGAGGATCTGTCAGTGGGTCAAAAAGTGTGAGAAAACCACAATTGTAGAGACCTCATCCTTAGAAATAGGATCATAAAGGTGATCCGCTGTTTCAGTTGTGGGACAGTGGATTTGAAGATCTAATGACTTAGCCATGCGGATCATGAGTGTAAGTTTGGAAATCCTCTGCTGAGGATGGAGGATCTACATTTGCAAGGTCGGAATCTGGCAATGTGAGAAGCACCGAAGAGTTTGTGGTCGAGGAATAGTCAAAGCTATGGTTTTTCCTGTCGTGATGTATGGAAGTGAGAGCTGGACCATAAAGAAAGCAGACCGCTGAAGAATTGATGCCTTTGAATTGTGGTGCTGGAGGAGGCTCTTGAGAGTCCCCTGGACTGCAAGGAGAACAAACCTATCAATTCTAAAGGAAATCAACCCTGAGTGCTCACTGGAAGGACAGATCCTGAAGCTGAGGCTCCAGTACTTTGGCCATCTGATGAGAAGAGAAGACCCCTTGGAAAAAGCCCCTGATGTTGGGAAAGTGTGAAGGCAAGAGGAGAAGGGGATGACAGAGGATGAGATGGTTGGACAGTGTCATCGAAGCGACCAACATGAATTTGACACAACTCTGGGATACAGTGGAGATAGGAGGGCCTGGCGTGCTCTAGTCCATGGGGGCATGACGAGTCGGACACGACTAAACGAAAACGTACCATAAATAGTTGATCAAGGCAGAGAGAAAACATTTAGCAGGGATGTTGGCAAGTCTTTGGGTCCAAGTCCCAAGTCTGAGTCTCTGGTACCAAGTACCAAGTCCCGAGTTCTAAGCTGCAGGTCTGAGTCCCTGTTGAAAATAAGCTTTCTTCTCCAGAAAATGGAGAGGGGTGGGTTACAAATCATTCGTTGAGTCTCATTTATTGAAAAGAAAACCTGAGTTGAGTCCCAGACGCTTGACAGCGTGTCCCATGACTCGAGTCTCCATCCCTGCCATTTAGGTGGCTGTAAGATGTCTATCCCAGAATGGAGTATTATGGGATTTTGATTCAATAAATCGCATCCCTAAGAGCATTTGCAGTTGCAGAGTTATCACTAAGTCATCTAGGTGTGTTCCATTTTCCACTTCTGTTACAAACATGTATCCTTTGAATTGTCAAGGTAGAGACTGTCAAGTGTAGATTGTTTATCTCATCACTTGAGGAATAAAAAAATAATCTAGTGCACAGCTACCCGTCAACTGTCACTTAAATACAGAAGGAGCCTCTGGAAAAAGAAATATTTTTGAGCCAGAAAGGAGATCTGATAATACCAGAGGAAGGTACCCAAACTCGTGAATTAAAAAGAGAGGTATGTTAAAGATGATGATCCTCCATATTGAATATCTGCCGATTCATGACCTATAGAAATAGATTACAGCTCTCTTAAGGTGGCTGTGTCGTTCAGTTGCCGCCCATGGAATGCAACCAAACTATGTCAATTGGTGGCACTGTGGCAGCTTCTCCTGATAGGTGGGTCTAATGTCAAGGGTAAGACACCTCTCACTCAACACAAGCCAAGCTGACATCGTTGCCTGAGTTCTTCAGTTACCTGGCAGGCTCAAGCAGTTTCCAGAAGCTGTGGCTCTCTTCCTTCTCATGCTGTGAGGGTAACAGGAGAAGCCTGGGAGCCTCCAAGAAATGCTTCCTACTTAGAGATCCTCTATTTGGCATAAGAAGGGAAGGAGGAAGATTTGCAAAAGGAGGGCTGTTCCCCTCAATCCCTCCTGGTTTGGGTCTTCTCATGTTGCCACAGAAGCTGCGCTACTGTAAGGTCTATGCCACTGAAATACAGTAAAAGCCAAGTCTGGACTCCAAGTACCTTTTTCTGGGCTGGCCCAAAACATTTTTGTGGGCTGAGGCAATAGACAAAACCTCTGTATATTCGCGAAGGCTTTCACAGCCGTGATCTAATGGTTGTTGTGGGTTTTTCGGGCTCGTTGGCCGTGTTCTGAAGGTTGTTCTTCCTAACCTTTCACCAGTCTCTGTGCCCGGCATCTTCAGAGGACAGCACTTCAGAGGACAGCACCAGAGCACAGAGTGCTGTCCTCTGAAGATGCCGGCCACAGAGACTGGCGAAAAGTTAGGAAGAACAACCTTCAGAACACGGCCAAAGAGCCCGAAAAACCCACAACAACCAAAATCTCTGTATGTTTCTTCCATGTATAGAATCCAGGTATTCAGCACAGTTTCTTCTGACATACCATAGGCAGCAGAACAAGCTAGCTTAGGAAGAGGACGGAGCATGGGCTAGAGGCTGAGAGAGATGACATGTTCCTTCTTTCCTTTGGATATTTTTTTTTCTTTGATTCCAACGTATTTCGAGACACTCAGCCACATACACCTCCACCCATACTTTTCTTCTCATTGGTTGCGATGGGCTCAAAATATGTTGGAATGAAAGGATAAAATCTCTATATAGATATATATACAATGTCTTTGGCTCCACTCTGTTGGAACCAAAGGAAAGAAGGGCTAAATGCAGATATATAGTTTATTTCTGCCTATGGCAGCATTACAGTATACAATGTACATTCTGTGTATTTCTATTTAGGGACTAAGATGCCTTTGGATTCAGTGTAACCAAAGTGCTATTTTGCCAGTGAGCTTCTGGGAGCCAGAGGTCCTCCAGATGTTTGGGCCTACATCTCCCATAATCCCTTACTGTTGGCATGTTGGATGAAGGCCTTGGGAACAGAAACCCAAACCAATTGGAGGACCAAATGCCCCACCCACAGCTGTAATCCACACACCAATGATAAGATCAAGAAGAGAATTCAGGAAAACAAGAAATGCATCATATTTAGCTCTTTATTCCAATTACGACAGTGGATGTGAGAAGAGTTTCCATACTTCAGCTAAGTAGATCCCAGTACACAATGCTGAAACCATGAAAGCCACACAAGAATGCACAAGGAACAAACAGGTAAGAAAGACAAATGAATGTTGACACTTGTCACCGTTATGCCTTCAGGTCAAGAACACGTATGAATTACAAAGGATGAGCAGGGGGAAAAAGATATGACATGCTCAGTATAATAAATTAAATAATTTACATCATCCCAGATCCATTTCAGTGTTTAGCTGCCTATAGGCAAGAAGTATTTTAAAGTTTTTTTTTAAAAAAGCCTGCATAACTTTCTTTTACACACAAAGACAGAGAGTGCACAGGGAAGCATTTTTGTGTAGCAGAAAGGACATCCTCCTCTGATCTTGGATCTTTCACCGACTCCAAAGAGTGTGGCACAGTCATTTCATTCTAGGTAGGATTTCACCAGAATCCACATGAGGAGTACTGTGATCAGTACAACCATGAAGTTGAGGAACAGCTCTTGTGTGGATCTCTCCATGGCTGGGCTTGGGACCAACAAGGGAAGAGCAAAGGCTGCGCTCACCGGACAAGCGTGAAGAGAGAGTTCTTATTTCGGGTTGTCCTTGTGATTAACCTTGTCCTCTCCTACAGAACAAGAACAACGGCATCAGAACTAGACGTGCGAAGGTGGGAAGCCTACTCCAGCACTATTTATACCGCCAGCATAAGTAAATGTTATTTCTATTGCTAACCTTTAGTGCAAGCAAGAGAGGTTTTTTTAAAGGCAGAGGGTATCTCTAACAGCTTATCACCTTCTTCAGTTTCTGATCCACAACAGGTCCTTTCAGTACCACTCCCCACCCAAATATATCCCACATGAAGACAATCCGACGAATCCCATTTGGATTTACAATTCCTCTTCTTAAAACTCCCATTGCACAGTTGATCTATGATTTTGGAAAGGATTTGAAAACTGGATGTTAAAAAAAAACCTTTAATGATTACAAATTCTAATATTTAGATGTGTGTTGCTTTTAAAGGGAAAGGGAATATTTCCCTTGAATATATTTTCACTAACCTACAATATGATTCGTTCAGAAGTATGAGTTTAGCATGTCTTGAGGCAAGAGTTTGGGGGAGTGGCTTTTTGGACTGCAACACCCAGTGCTCATGTTGGTTCAAGAACTGTCATCCAAAAATGCAACTTTTCCAAGCTTTGCTTTGAATCCTATTAAATGGAAGTTTTGGATTCTGTTTGGCATGGATCCCATTTTTCCTCCATTCCGAAAGGTCCTCCCCTCATTAATCCCACCTGAATTCCACTTTGCAAGACCAATATGGTTAAAAACAATAGTTGCCTTGAAAGAAGGTGCTGGATGATCTGACAGAACCCCTATTTTGGACAGGGAGGTTGGGATTTTGTTGTCTAATCGTGTATACCACCCAGAGTAGTGTTTTTCACTAATTAGGCGGTAAAGAAGTTTAATAAATAAACAAAATTGATAAAGGTGTGAGATGCAACCATGTTGTCAACTCATCCCATACCATCCCTCTGTTTCTAGACCAAAGTAAAATCCTATTTATTTATTTAATATCCCGCCTATCTGTTTTATTAAAGAAGTTTAATAAATAAACAAATTTATAAAGGTGTGGGATGCAACCATGTCGTCAACTCATCCATACCACCCCTCTGTTTCTACACCAAAGTAAAATCTAATCATCTGGAAGTATCAACCTCCCAAGCAGGAAAATTGACTGCAAGCACAAGCTCCAGATGAGTGGCAGTGCATAGAAGGGAAAATATTAGCCTTTTAAGAAAGAAGATGGAAAACCTCTGACAGTCTTAATCTGGCCAACAGATGTTACCCCTTATGGGCTGAAGAGGGCCTGGGGATTCCGTGCCTCCCAGGCTCCTCCTCCAGGCCATATCCCCTGGCCACACCCCCTGAGGAAAAGTCACCACATAACAGTATTAACTACTTGTTGAAGAAGAGCTTGAGGGAGTTCCTTTTTTGGACTACACTTCTCATTGGCTATTGGGACTATCTGTCCATCTCAGCAGGAGGTAAACACTCCCCACTTCTGTTGGAAGTAGGAGGTTAATGTGAACCTCAGCAGGAGGCCGGAGACCACCTCCTGCTGAGATGGACAGATAGAGCCCACCATATGGTGAATGTTTAAATCTCCTTCCCTCCAGAGCATAGTTGTTTTAACCAAGCAAGAGCTGCATCGGCTGCCATTTTCAGATGTGTTGTGTCAGCAGATCTGATGTCCCATGTATGTGAAGCCAAAATCAAGTACAATGTGAACCTCAGCAGGAGGCCGGAGACCACCTCCTGCTGAGATGGACAGATAGAGCCCACCATATGGTGAATGTTTAAATCTCCTTCCCTCCAGAGCATAGTTGTTTTAACCAAGCAAGAGCTGCATCGGCTGCCATTTTCAGATGTGTTGTGTCAGCAGATCTGATGTCCCATGTATGTGAAGCCAAAATCAAGTACCTATGCTGCTGTCAAATTCCAAGGTGGTGTATAAAGAAGTGAATAAATCTACCCACACAAACAGACAAATACAATATAAGGAAAACAACAACCATTAAGAGCATGTAACATAACAATTAAGCATCATTTTTTAAAGAAGAAAATAATACAAAAAGAAAAGCAAGTTGAATTACGTTTTGGAAAGCAAACATTATTTTTTGAGCCCTCCACTCTTTTTTCCTAGCAAAGCTTACCATGCCGGAGTTGTTGGGCATGTCATGATATATGATGTCGATTAGCTGTCCTCTACCGGGTACCCTCCAGAGGATCACCACTCTCATTATCCTCAACCAGCATGGTCAATAGCTCACATGAATGGCTCACTTGGTGAGCACGCTGACTGAGGATGATGGGAGCTGTGGTGCAACCAAGAAGAAGAGTGCCAGGTCGTTCTTTAAAAAGAACACAATGGCATGTCATGATATATGATGTCGATTAGCTGTCCTCTACCGGGTACCCTCCAGAGGATCACCACTCTCATTATCCTCAACCAGCATGGTCAATAGCTCACATGAATGGCTCACTTGGTGAGCACGCTGACTGAGGATGATGGGAGCTGTGGTGCAACCAAGAAGAAGAGTGCCAGGTCGTTCTTTAAAAAGAACACAATGAAAGATGTACTGAGGATGATGGGAGCTGTGGTGCAACCGAGAAGAGTGCCAGGTTGTTCTTTAAAAAGAACACAACGAAAGATGTGGAGAGGCTGCTATAGAAAAGCAGATGTGCAGTTGTGAGACACCATTTGGCAAGAGCCACCCTCATTTGGCATAAATTTCTTTTATGATAAAGAAATTCTTTATCTGATCTCTCTCTTTCTCAAACACATACACACCCCACATGACTATATCTCAGGAATTCACTGGTTAGTTATTAAGAATATAAACATAACAAAGTCAGCAAGGATGCTATATGTTGAGCAACATAATCTTCAATTTACCCCATTTGAACTTTGCTTTGAATCTTGTCTTCCATCAGAGCTCAGAAAAGAAACTTTTTTGGGACTACAGCCTTCAGTGGTCATGCAACCTAGGGAGTTTTCGGAAGTGTGGTTCAAAAGGAGGAACTTTTAAAAACTCTGCAGTAGTGCAAAACAAGTACCTTAGAAAATCTTTCCTTTGAAAAATAGGTTTTCCAGCTGTCTTAACAATTGTTTAAGTACCTCCATCGAGATTTTTCTCCTGCTCTTAACACCCTTACATAATTCCCCTAGAGAGGTTCCTGCCCTCACTTTTTCCTGCAATTCAAAATGTTCTGAGCATCAAATATTTCTTTTTCACTGGCCTCAGCCAGTGTGGGTTTCTATGCCTCTTAATTTTTCAGTGTCTCTCGAGAAGATACAAATTATAAAACTGATAAGCTTGTTCGTAGAACTAACGGCGCTATCATCATCTCTATTTACTCAGACATAAGCCCTCCAGTTGGAGCTCACTCCCAGATAAGTAAGTGTCTGGTCGTATCCTGAGATTCAGTGAGCTGAACAGCATTTATTCCCAACTGTGCACTGAAGATAATAATTGTCTCATATTACTGTTTTAGCAGTAGTGGCAGTATATAGGTAGCAATATAATCTAGTAGTATGACTAAACTGTTTTAACAATAATAGACATTTTAAGATGTTGAAAACACTGTGCATACATTTTCTTAGTAATATATACAAACACCCTTGAAAGGTATGCCACTGAGTTTTGTTTTGCAGCCAGGATGCTTGTATGTACAAAGATATGTGTTGCCTAGGGCTACTGAGTTGCTTATAATCTGAGCTGAGATTTATTTCATGGGCTTTCATTTCATGGATTTTTAGTGCTTTAAGCATGGTAGTAAGCCATCTCAGTGTAATACAAAATCAGGATTGTGCTACAAATATTACGTTGCTTTTAGCTCCAAAAGCCAGAGTTCAAAACTCACAGTAGTGGGCCCTGATCAACTCACTTTTCCTTAGCCTCAGTTCCTGATCTATAGAATGGGCATAGGAACATTTTTTTATTGAGCTCATGGAATAAATAAGATCATTAACATGAAGCATGCCATTGTTTCCTGATTAAGGAACATACTTAACATTCTTGAGATCAATGTGTGTGTAGGGTAAACCATTTCTGAGTATCCTACACCTAGAAAACGGTGAAGAAGGTTCTCGCAATCGGTTTGACGGCACGTAATTGTTATTGTCATTTATCTACTTTGGCTCAACACTGCAGCCTATAATCGTTATATCAAGCCGTGGAAAATAATATTTCATGCAGATCTCCATGTCACGAACTTAACATTAGATGGTGTTAGAAGCAGAAGGATTTAGGTAGGATTTTTCTGCCCAAAGCTCAACAAAATTAGGAAGCTAGCATTTTGCATAGTTTTAAATTTAACTTTTCCCCCTCCCTCGCTCTTTGGACATTCAGGTTGTCTACTATTTTTGAAAAAGGAGGATGCCAGGCATATGAAATACAACCCCTTGCTCTACCTGGAGAGGAAGGATGGAGCACAGCACGAACCCGTGGTACCCGGGGCTTTCCTCAGCTTCTCCTCATCTCCCAGGGCAGTCTGGATTCCCAGTTCCTCTGGTGGGACTAAAGTAGTCAGAGGGAGGAGGGAGGCAAGCAACCAGGGCATTGGCAACATAAGCCATGACATCACCAGCTGCCTATTTAAAATGGGGTTAGGCTGATGGGCAGCATTCAGTTCAAGCTATTTATGAGGGGAGGCAGGCCGGCTTCTGTATTGATTTACATATTTCCTTTGGATTCTCTCATGGATTATTATCCTAGCCCCAGAAAATTCTTAACAGGCCAGGAACTTTCTAATTTTTTAAAAAATAAAAAATAAAACCAAGCAGGCTTATTCTACTGCTAAGCACATGCGCCGGGATCAACTGCAGAAATGCACAGCTCCCAGGAATGTGCAATAAATTTTCAGGATCAAGGCAAAACCTGACCCCGCTTTTGGACAACTGAGTGGAGTCCAGATTCTATGCGGTTTACTTGATAAGTACGGCCACCTGTTGCTGTCCTCAGTCCTTATTATAGTAGCCTCTTTGGCTTCTCATGTTCCTATATGTTTAATCCAAGACAGCAGAACAGCAGCACAGTATTATTTCTAGTGAGATATGGTGCATGGTTCCATTCCTTCAGTAGACAGACAATGAGTTTGATTTTCATGTATTTTTAAATTGTTCATGAACCTGGTACTGGAGGCAACCCTTCACAAATTTGGGAAGTGAGGTGTCCACCCTACCCTAGTCCATAAGCCATCCCATGTGAAACACAGATTTGTTGTTTTTGTTTCCTTTCCCCCTGTTCTCATCTTTAACTCCTTTCTTCAGATACCCATTCAAATTTCAATGATTTAATTCACAGTATCATTCGTGTGGCATGCCGCTTTACGAGGTAAAAGCAAACAGGTCCTTCTCTCACTAGGCTTACATTAGCCATTCAGTTTATTGTTCAAAAACAGCATTGTAGCAGGTGCCCTTTTATTTAATCCTTTACCTCTGCTGAAATATTATAGGTAATTATGATGAACCAAGTGCAGCCCTAACACTTTGGGTCACCAATACCGTGCACAGATGCGGGGGGCGGGGGAAGCATCGAGGGCCCATCAATAAATTACTTCATGTACAAAGAGGAAGGGAGGGATTAGGTAAATATGGCCTTGGATTAAGGTAGAGGAAAATGAGATGGCGAACAGAAGAAGGTTTTTAAAACTTTCTAAGTGTCGCCTACTTTCTGGAACCTCTGCTGCCATTAGAGTACATGAGGAAACATTTAGTCCAAGAAATTCCATCCAGTCAAATTCTAGCTAAAAGGCTTTTACAATGGGTCTTGCTCCCAAAAAGAAGCATAGAATACTTCTGTATGGGCTTTGGATCTTTAGGGTTCTAGTCTTAAATGAAAGGCCACCTGTAATGTCAAGGGCATGGTGTTGCTCCTCCTCCTCCTCCGTCACACACATACACACACACCCCTCTGCTTCCTTGTACTGAGAACAGAGTCAGAGAGGTAGATCTCAGGCTGACCTATAAGACCTGGTTTACGTTCGCCCAGCCTAAAGAAAGGCAGACCCATATGGACAGGCAGGTAAGGAGCTGGGGATGTGGAAAGGAGATGAGGCGGGATGGAATGCCAGAGACTGCATGAGGTTGTGGGTACAAGAGACATGGGCAGAAGATGATTAGAGTAGATTACAATGCTTCAGTTTTTAGACATGTGTGTGAGATGTGGAATTGGAAGATATGGCAGAACAATGCAAGAGCCGGAACAAGGATGCAATATACCAATCCATAAGAACTGCTGGATAGCTCAGTGGTTTAAGTAGAGGGTGGGAGTTCAATTCCCCACTGTGCCTCCTTGAGAGGGGCTGGACTCAATAATCGAAAGGGTCCCTTCCAGCTCTGCAATTCTAAGGTTATTGTTGCTGTTATATCCTGCATCCAAATACTACCAAAGAGCCACGCCTAACATTCTTGGTTGTTGCTGTACGCTGTATTGCTGTAACAACTGCTTTAATGACGTTGCTTAGCACCCAGAAAAATAGACAATAAAACTTTTGCATGTTTATAAAGCTGGAAACTTTAAAAAAGTTATTTCTTCTTGTTTTGGTCTCTAGTTTTATCTTATTTTTGCTTTTATTTAATGTTTGTTTTGTTTTTTTAATGTCCTGGTGTTAACTTATTCAAATAGCTCAGTCCTGTATATGTCTACACAGAAATATGTTCAGTGGGACTTAGATAAAGTAAAGGTTTCCCTTGACATTTAGTCCAGTCGTGTCCGACTCTAGGGTGCGGTGCTCATCCCTGTCTCCAAGCCATAGAGCCAGTGTTTGTCTGTAGACAGTTTCCGTGGTCAAGTGGCCAGCGCGACTAGACATGGAACGCTGTTTATCTTTCCACCGTGGTGGTACCTATTTATCTACTCGCATTCACATGCTTTCGAACCGCTAGGTTGCCAGGAGCTGGGACAAGCAAAGGGGGCTCACTCCATCACGTGGATTCGATCTTAGGACTGCTGGTCTTCTGACCTTGCAGCACAGAGCCTTCTGCGGTTTAACCTGCAGCGCCGCCACATCCCTTATGTCTACACAGAAATATGTTCAATGGGACTTACTCCCAGCTAAATAGGGATTGTATCACAGCCTTAATATGGTTGACATCTGCCTGTGCCCTCCATAATTTCAAAGGCTAAAATCTTGCATATCTATGCAAATAGCATTCATTGGGGGGGGGGATTCCAGGTTAAGGAATCACCTTAGACATCATCAGTTGCACCTGGAGTCACAAAACTCAGTACGCAACACATAATAATACAGTAATTTCTTAATTAAAAGTATTTTACCTCTAAAAGTTACACCAGTGTGATGCCAGTGTAAGCAGGCAAGAAGAAGTGGGCCCATGGATAATATTACATTGCTGACCAAAAAGGCAAACTAAAATATGTATTTTTCCCCTCAAATCTTGAAATCCATAGAAAGACACTAGTAGTAAATGATTAGAGTAGACCCATTGAATCAATGGAACTTATATAGATTGTCTCACCAAACCCTCATGGATTCAATGGGCCTATTCTAGTGCAACTTTACTACACCAAGTAGCAGGATTTCAGCCAATGTGTGCAGCACTTGGAATATTGTCCTAGATGTACATTACTCATTTTTAAATCAGACCACTTTTTATTCTCCATGGTATCATAAGAAAATCTATATAGTAAGTAAGATCTGGACCTGTCATTTGGGAAAACGAAGCAGCTGCTTCAGACAGCAGATTTGGGGAAATGGGAAATGGCAGCCAGGGGTACTGCAGGGCAAAACTGTGGGTGCCTTTTAGCCTCCCTTTGCCCCTAAGAATTTCTGCTATTTTCACCTGCTCCCAAAGTACACCCTGCATTCTAATATTTTTAGCTGCTGGTCTAGTCAGCTTCAGTATGGGGAGTCCTAAAAGGCCCTTTGGGGCAGGCCCTGATGCCACTGACTCATAACTTCTTCTCATGAGGATCTGTGCCCAAACACTTGGACCTAGAGAGCCACAAGCCGTATGGCTGTTGGGCTCTTATATATGCCCAGGTACTCATGAATGCTCATGCAGAAATACTTATCTAGACCAGGGATGGGGACTAGAGTCACAGGACTTGTGGTCAAGTCGGACTTCAGCCGTATTGGTGACTTAGCTTGGGGTTGTTCAATGATTCTGACCCAACTTGAGACTTAGAACCCACCCCTCCCTTTTTTTCTGGGGAAAAGAGCTTGCTTTTAGTAGGGACTCAGGACTTGGATTCGGACTTGGGAGTTGGTACCAAGGACCTAAACTCAAACTTGGGACTCAGACTCAAAGACTTGCCAACATCCCTTATCTAGACAGACAGACATTCCTTCCTTCCCCTACCTACCCAATGCACATCACAGCTTAGTGAGATAGCGAGGTTTAACTCCCCGCTCTGCCCACTGAGATCTATGGTGTATATGTGTATATTTCTATAGGTGTGAAAGCCTTCGTTGACACTACCCAGGAGTCTTAGAATCACATCAGCAGGGGGATCAGAATGATCTTTTACCTTCTGCAGCACTAGAAAATCACACAGCAAATTCCAGTGTGATTGCTGTTTCTCCACTAGAAAGCAGAAGACAAACTGTTCTCTTTGGGCTTTTCCAGACTAAGCAAAAGATACACATCCATTTCTGCTGCTTGGTCATGAATACCTGTAGGGCTTATTAAGATCTGAGTTCAGTCCTCCATCTAAAAAGTTTCATCTCCAAAAGCAACTTGTCCACAGGAAATCGTTTCAAAGAAAGCTGTTTTAATGTGTATTTGTAGCTAATTGGAATCTAATTTAAGGCTTTCAGCTAGAAAGTTGACCATGGAAATCAACTTCCAGTTAGAAGTGTCACAGCGCTAAACTCTTCTCACCAGAACAAACTGAGTTGAAAAACAAAGCATAAAACCTTTATTGGCATGAGTAGAAATTGGACATGGCCACAGTGGTTTGCAGAACAAACTGAGTTGAAAAACAAAGCATAGATAAAACCTTTATTAGCATGAGTAGAAATTGGACATAGCCACGGTGGTTTGTTAGGTAACTACATATATAGGCATCAAGATGGCAGAAAACTGTTAGATATCCAGAACAAACTGAGTTGAAAAACAAAGCATAGATAAAACCTTTATTAGCATGAGTAGAAATTGGACATAGCCACGGTGGTTTGTTAGGTAACTACATATATAGGCATCAAGACGGCAGAAAAGTGTTAGATATCCATAAAGGGACAACGGTTCGTCTCCTAACAATATTATCAGGGAAGTCTGTGACTCGTTCTACAATATCAGTCATCCTGGCTGCCAGCATAGAGCGAACGTTATCGAGGTCTGACCTTCCTGCTGAATGGAGGAACTAGAAAGCATAGAAAGCCAAGACACTGCAAATTTTGTGTTGTATAGCAGGAGAAAAAAAATTACAACATCAATGATGAATCAAGTACATTACAAAGAACAAATTATCTGGCAGAGGCCACAGCCAGAATCTTTGGAGAAAGCCTTTCTCACATGTGGTTTTCATGGAGATTCTTACTCCCAGTAATGTCAGAAAAAGCACCAGTCTCCTCTGCAGTCTGATTCTCAACACACCACACTGGTGCAAATTTATTTTTACCTTAACAGATAACATTGAGAGGGTTGAATTTTGGAATTCTGAAATAAGGGCTCTGGAAGAATTTGTGAGCATATATACGCTGAGACTTGGAGTATCAAATACTGAGTAAGATGGGATCATGGCGTATGGTAAGTGCATTTAAATGTCACCTGGAGCGCATGGGAACTTTACAAGATATGCAGTGGCTTTCCTATGAATCAATTCCTTGCTAACACTTTTGGCAGGATTGTACTTGTTAAGATTCCCAAGGATTCAGTCCTCATTGGTTATTATTACTATCTGAATTATAGCTGTGCTACAAGGTATGCCCGTCTAAATAAAACAACAAAAAAGGTCAGTCTGTGAGAGTGAACTGTGGCAAGAATTTTATATATATATATTTTTTGCTGATCCAGCTAATATAAAATACTTCCAGTGTAGGAGGCTGACAGGTGTCTCCTTGTGACATTAAGCTGGCAGTCCCTTCGGTGCTGCAGCTTTGATTGCAAAATTGTGGTGTTGCATTACTAGCTATCAGGAGCAAACATATCTTTCTGCATCCAGCCAGCCAGCCATTCAGCCAGCCCATGGCTTCTTATCTTGTTTACAACATACTGAACACGGTTTCAAGATTATTTAACATCAATTCCTGGACCACGGTGTAGAGACAGTCATGTATCTTTCCTTGAACAGGAGACTTTGAAAGCAGTGTAGGAATATATTAATGCATACCTTCAGAATCACAACCAGAAGTTCTCTCTCTCTCTCTCTCACACACACACACACACACACACACACACATGTTTCAACTAATAAATCTTATCCACTGTAACTTTAAAGCCCCCAGAGGTGGTTGGAAGCTGGTACAGTGCCTTGGAGGCATGGGGAAGGGCAAAGGGGGTGGGAGACAGCAAAAATTAGTCCAGGGCCACATATCTGTCCCACACAGCACAAGCAGCCCACCCCTGACTTAACAGCAGAGAATGATGGGTTACGTTCAAGAGGAATAGCCAAGAAGACTCCTGTTGCTGTCCTCCAGTGTCACTTAACAACCACTGTCTCAAGCAGCCATTTTACTCCATTGTAAAATTTGGGATAAGCCAAATGAAAAAAAGTTCTCAGCATTCATGACCTTTTGAGGCAGGTGTTTCAGCTTATCACCTAATAATTTCGTTAGCTCTTTTTTTTTCATAAATGAGTTACCTTTAGTTTGCACGTAAAAGAAAGAAAGAAAGAAAGATTCCTGCCTTCCAATTATCTCTCTCTCTCTCTCTCTCTAACACATACATGCACACACAGAATCTTTGTTGTTATGTGTCATCAAGTTGCTTCCAACTTATGGCAACTCCATGAATAAGTGACATCCAGAAAATCCTATCATCAACCATCCTGATCGCTGTTGCAAAATCAAAACAGTGGCTTCCTTATTGAGACAATCCAACACAAATATTTTAAAGGACTGA